GCATGAACTTAATATTGTGTGTCATTTAAACTCAAATTTCCACTTTAGTTGGTTTAAACTGAATTTAAGTTGAGGTAACTTAATGAAATTGACTCAATAACTTTATTTTTCATCATCTTGAGTTCAAGATTTCAAATCTCCGCCTTTATCTCAACACATCTGTACAATTTTTCCAGATGTGACGTGCTAATTCTCCAAACTCAAATACAGTTTGTTGGTTGAACTTCATTAGAAGCAGTCAAAACACTGATTTTTTTTGTTGTTGTTGTTGTTGTGCCCAAACATGTTTTGTTTTTTTTGTATTAATGGGACGTTTTCCAAATAAAAAAAACATTTTCACTGCCCTCTGCTGGACAAACTGCATACAAAGACGCTGACACTGTTTCCAAATGACCTTAAGTGTGTCTATGTGGCTTCTTTCTAATTTAATTTATCGTTAATTATCAATCAACGTATATGCTGATGCACACTTACACTATACATGTGATGCATATTAGTTGGGCTCTGAGAGGGAGCTGCTGGAGGACTCACTCATTACTGACATGAGCAGCTGCACAAAATGCAACTTATCGATATTGATTATCCTGCTTGACCAGATGTCGGCGCTCAGTTTTGCACGGTGTGAATCTGGAGCGTATTTGGAAGCAGTTTATATGTAGGACGGTGTGTTTTCTGGTTCTGATTGACCCATATAGAACCTGCAGACAGGAAGCTGAGCGCGGCCTGCTGCTGTCTAAATGTGTGTGTGTTTTTTTTCCTGATATCATGCATCCTCCCAGTGAGGCTGTAAACAGAGAGACGTCTCCAGAAAGGCGGACACCACCTCCATCACCACCACCTCCTCCTCCTCCTCCTGTCTCCATCCACATGAAAACACCGTGTACCTGCTCGGAGCTGCTGGAGGCGGCTTTCACCCTGGTGCTCAGCTCGTCCTGGGTGATCTGACTGTGGTTGTGGCGGCTGTAGAGCAGCCGGAGCGGCACCGTGTCCTGCTTCCCCACGAACCTGCCCGCATCACGAAGCGCCTTCAGGCTCGACGAGGCTGCACAAGAGAAGGAAAACAGCAGCTTCATGAGCCGCCCGGAGACACACACACACACTCACACACACGCCGATCACATCTGAAATGGTTCCTTTGATAACATGATGGGCTGCGTGCGTGTGCGTGCGTGCGTGTGTGTGTGTGTGTGCGCTTTCAGATCATGAGCGGTGATTAAAGGAATAAACACGGGCCTGTTTGTGATGGTTTAACACTGCATGAGGTTAATTCTTCAACAACAAAAAAAATCCCAAACAGTTACCGTGTGGGGCGTCTGTGCTGCTCTGGAGACCGACGTGCATCAATCCACAGACGCACAAAAGGGAAATCCACCATCGCGGGCGCATCATCAGCATCATCACCTTTCCGTGTCTCTGGCTGGAAAATCTAAACAATGCGGTATTCCAGGAGGAGGCTGCGGGGGTCCTGCCTTCGCTAGGGGCGCCTGCCGGAGCCGGGGCTGGTCGTCTGGGTAGCGCAGTCCCGCTGCTGGGGGGCCATCTGGGGGTGCGTACGAGTCTGAACGCCGAGCGCGTCTGAGCGCACCGAGACCCCGCGGATCAGCGGCACGGAGGAGGCGCGGAGGGGAGAGAGAGAGCCGGAGAGGGAGGGAGGAGGGAGGAGGAGGAGGAGGAGGAGGAGGACTGGGGACACCTCCTTAAAACGCATCAATGTCCAGCGGCTCACTGCAGAAACGCCTGATGCATAAATATGAGCTGGATGGAGCAGAGCTGCGGGCCCCGAACCGACCCGGACCAGGAAAAACCAGCCTCCATGTTAAACGACTGCAGGAGCGCCATCCTGGTTCCGTCTGTTATTATCATCATGAGTCACTCCATCATCCAGCAGAAGGACAAATCCAGCCCCCGCCCTGACAAACACACAGAATGAGATGCAATTTTATGGGAATTAAATTATTGTGTTTTTCTTTTTCTTCATGAAGTCAACATAAAATGTTCCTCTCAGGTCATGTGATGTTTTCCACTTTCGACAACAACCTTCATTTCTCCTAATTCACCACTAGAGCTGTATTAATTAATCGACTAATCAATAAGTTGTCAGCAATTAAATATTAAATCGGTTTGAGGAACCTCCCAAAGAAAAAAAACGTCTAAATTCTCTGATTCCAGCTTCTTAAATGTGATTTTTTTTCTACTTTATTTTCTTTTCTGACATTTCAAGCCCCAAACAACTAAAAAATTGTTAGAAATAAACACCGACCACAGCATTAAATTGGAGCTGCAAAGATTGCTTGATTAATAAGTCAATCAGTCCCTTACAGCTGCCACAAAAAATAGATTAATGAAGTTGTCAACTATTAAATTAATACTTAAAAGTATTTTGATAATTTACTGGTTTGAGTAATTTTTCAAAAGTAAAAAAGTTTAAATTGTCTGATTGCAGCGTCTAAAATGTGAATATTTTCGGTTTTCTTTTGTTTTCTGGCATTTTAAAGACCAAACAACTAATCAATTATTAGAAATAAACACTGAACAGAGCATTAAATTACAGCTGCAAAGACTGGTTGATTAATCTATAAGTCAATTAGAGCTGCCACTAATAATTGATTAGGCAACCTGTTGTCAACTATTAAATGAAGCTTTTTGATAATTAACTGGTTTGAATAATTTTTCAAGAGTAAAAAAAGTCTACATTCTCTGATTTCAGCTTCTTAAATGTGAATATTTCCTGGTTTCTTTCCTCCTTTGTGACAGCAAACTGAATATCTTTTGGTGTTTAATGGATTGACACTTTTCACTATATTCTGTATTCTTAAAGATCGAGCAACTAATCAATTAATTGGGAAACCAATTAAAATGACTGCAGCCCTGTTAGACACAGCAACAGGCAAAAAGACAAGTTGGCTAATCAATGAGCCAAATCGAGCTCCGTCAATTAATGGATTAATCAGCCTGTTGCCAACCATTCAATTAATTGATTAAGCAGATTGAGTTGAAAAAGAAAGCCTGAATCCCTGATTGCAGCTTCTTAAATGTGAATATTTTGCTTTTTTTTCCCTCCTCTGTGACAGTAAACTGAACATCTTTGGGTTGTTGTGGACAAAACTGAAAACCAAAAAGGTCAACGACTGCATCCAAAAGTTGTCGTTTCCCTTTGCAAGAAGATTTTGGTCTCTGTAGCGCTCTTAAAACTTCTGTAGATGAAAGAAAGTGAAGAGAAAAATGACAAGAACTCACATTTTAGCTGCTGATTCTGCATTAAAGCTGCAAAGATGAATCAATTCGAGTCACTTTTAAAGGAAAAAAACTCAATATTCTCTAATTTCAGCTTCCTAAATGTCTGTTTCTTTCCTCCTCTGTGACTGTAAATTGAATATCTTTGGTTTGTGGACAAAACTAAAAAACCCAAAAGGTCAATAATGAACATTAAATCTCAGTTTTCAGCCAGAATAAGTTTCCCTTTGCAAGAAGATTTTGATCTGCGTAGCGCTCTTAAAACTTATGTACACGTTAGGTAAAAGAAAGTGAAGAGAAAAATGACAAGAACTCACATTTTAGCTGCTGGTTCTGCATTAGAGCTGCAAAAATAATCAATTTGAGTCATTTTTTGAGGAAAGACATTCTTGAATGTGAATATTTTCTGGTTTTACTTTGACAGTAAGATGAATATCTAAAAAACAAAACAAAAACATTTGTCAACTTGGACTTTAGAAGATGCTGATCATCATTTCTGACTTTTATAAACCAAACAACCAAGCAAAGAGAATTAATTTCATCCCAGGTTCACTGAAGGATCCGATTGGATTCTCACTGGAGCAAAAGTTCAAAACACTCAATGTTGCATTAAGGTTGAAGCTTTTAGAGCCAGTTAGCATCTTAACTGGGTTGATCACAGCTCCACTAAAGGAAACACTTAATCAGATGGACCTATTTTAGATGTTTATGCGTAAAGTTTGCATATTCTCACTGGACTGAATTTCAACATTTGGACGTTGTGTTCAGATCATGAAAACCTGCAAAAGATAAACAAGAACAGATATTACTTCAATGTCACAGGTATAAAACACATAAAGAAGGAGCAGCTTGTGCTAATAAAGCTCAGCGGCAGCAGAGCATTGTCTGTATGAGAGCAGCAACAGCGAGTGCATTCAGCAGAGCTCTTTATTTGCCGTGTTTGTACCTCAGAACACGTTGATGGGCCTGTTTTCGTTCTCAATGCCAGTGGCACAGACACTCCCATTTGACCCAGTGCATCCATTTGAGAGCAGCGAGGGGACGGAGAACAAGGGCACTATGCTAATGCACTATATGCAGGGAATACAGAATTTAACCCATGCAGTGCCTACTTTACCTACAAGACTGTAGCATTTTGCTTTGCTGAAAGAAGGCCAGATGTGTTTATAAATCTACCCCCAGGATCTCTGCAAGGATTACCGCAGCGAATACTAAGGAATTCAGCTCTAGTGGAGCTTAAAAGACTGGATTGTTGAGGCCATAAACAATAATATCTGATTTAAAAGATCTGATGATGACCATATCAGCTGAGTTTTTAAACATGAACAATATTATATTTATGGTTTTGTGCTTATTTAGCCATAAAAAAAAGTAAAGCACACAAAATGAAACCCAAAACTTAAAAATAATGTCTGACATCTACAAAAAGTAAGATAAAGTTTAACTTGTGCTGATGTACATCTTAAGAAACTCCAATAAAACATTTCCTGTTCTACATTATTATATATTATTAATGAAATAGGTGCTACGTGGGGACTGTAGAAGCCGACAATTACTTATTTCCATACCAAAATTAGATTTTTAGGGAGGTTTATTTCACTAAAAGGTTTGTTTTAGCTGGAAATTGCGTAAACAGGTAGAAAAAAAAAATCACTAAGACATTGTTAGAGATGTTAATCTGCGAAGACACCCCAGAGACATGACAATTTTCCCACATGGCATTTTCATTAAAAATGCAAAAACTAAATAAAAACAGTTAATTCTTGTTTTTACTCTTGTGCCATTTCCAGCCTTAAGAGTTTTATTTGATGAATAAAAAAGTCACTATAAATCAAAAGTTTGCATGGGGATGAATGAAAAATAAACTTTTCAGCGCCCTCTGGTGGATAAACTCTGCATCGTGACAGTATCAGCATATTAGTTAATATTGAGGCGTTTACTGGCATCCTCCTATATGCAACAAGCTCAAATCTGCAGGTATATCATGTTTGAAGGTAGAGGTTGTGCACTCTGCTGATAAATCCCAGCAGCAGCAGCAGCAGGGTTCCATCCGTACGACATAAACGCCCACGTTCACCCCTTTTCGTTTGTAGTTCTGCTGTGCTTGTACCTCAGAAACACACTCATTTTCTTAACGCCAGTGGCACAGAGGCTCCCATTTGACCCGGAGCGTCCATTTGAGAGCGGCAAGGGGGAACAAGGACGCTGCGCTAATGCACTAAACGCAGGGAAAAAAGGGGAGACGCTGAGCTAATGCATCAGGGGGAAAATAAATAAATAAAAAGACACGTGAAGGCAGGTCATTAAGAAGTGCACTTAGGACGAATCCTAAAATGTCAAATACCACACATTCATCACATATACACAATGAGCACATGTATTTTATTACTGTAACACAGACACCAGCCGTCCCCTGTGGTTGGAAAGATGTGCTAAAGGTTATTGTTTTGACCTGAGCTGCCTTTTTTTTCTCCTCCAACTGTTGCTCTTTAGACATTCACTATTCAGAGGAAAAGACCGCAATACAATAAAAATAAACCTTTCTGTAAAACTGTTTTTCTAGTGGCAATAAATGGTATCCGTGCTGGAAAATTACTGCCCTGTCAGAATTACGAAAATGACAATAATGTACAAACAGAAGTGAGCGTGTAATATCACTTAAATGTCAGAAGAGTAAAAAATCTATCACTTCTTAATAACTGCATTATTTCTAATTTGAAAGGTAGATTATTTCCTCTTATGAACAATTAAAACAAGTACTGTAGAAAGTCCACAGTGAAAATTTAGTCCCCAAAGTGCAACAAAAGTGAATCCACTTGTGATCACTAAAACTAGTCCACCTGTGATGTCCAATCAGTCCAAGTGCACAAATATGGTTCAGAAAGATCCTCACTTTTGGACCTAAGAGCTGTTTCTATCTGCATGTCTACATCTTGGCTCCACACGGAAAATAACTGAACAAGAGGAGCTGAAAAATCTGATTGTGAGACTTTAAAAAGATGGAAAATGTTACAGAAAGATCAACTAAAAATCATCTGCAGCAGTGATCAGGAGGTCGAGAAGGAGCCACAGTAGCACTAATCAGGGCTGCAGTGGTCGCAATAAAACCCTGATGAACAGACAAAGGCAGCTGCTTCAGACTTGGTAGAGGGGTTATCAATGGAAATCAGAGTTTCTGTGAAGCTCAGACACTTCACAACATCAAACTCAATGGACGGCATCTAATAAAACACCCTTACTTACTCTTTGGTGCAAAACTGCAAGATGAAACTGCTAAAGAACCTGAACAGAAGCCTGATGATTGTTGGGAGCACATCTTGGATGAGACCAAGATTAATTTGGTTTAGATGGAGTCTAGCATCTAGTGAATGCATAGTCCTGACAGTAAAGCACGGAGGTGGCAGCATGATGATGATAAGGGGCTGCATAAGTGCAAAAGCTGTTTGGGAGATGACATTTATATATATTGTTCGAAGAAGAGGAATATTCCAGCATAATATTCATCCCAATCATTAGAAAGTTTAATTAGCAAGTGTTAAAAAAGGAAAGATGTGAACTTACGGTGGAGTCTGTATTGTTAATAAAGTAAATATGAACTATTAGTTTAGAAGTTACTCTACTGTTAAATAATGGAACTATTAAGGTGATGTAATTCGTCTCTTCTGACATTTAGGTGATATTTTATATTGTGCATGTTTTGAGTTTAAAATCAAAATGCCAAATGAATGTCAGCGAAGGGTTGCAAATAAAAACAATGTGTATAATGTCAAAAATTTTACATTTTATCACCACTGTTAAAAGTAATTCTCCTGCTGAGATGTGATCTTTTCACTTTAAAGCTTACTATACTCTGCAAAGAAAATGTTAACGTGAACCAGTAGCTGCCGTTTATCAGTAGCAGGGGGTAAACCGAAAGCCTGTGTGGATCCTTCCATCGTCTTTTTTTTTAACATGTTTTTCAAATACAACAAAAATCTAAAGACCAGCGTAGTCTCTGGAACAGACAGTCCAGCTTATCCCTTCAGTTCATTTGACCTCTCCTTGTCTGGAAATCCATGAAACTCCACGTCCATGTCATCGCTGGACTGGAAAAGCTTCCACAGACTCAGCATGGAGTCAGGATCGTCTCTCGGCTTTTCAACGGACGTGTCCACTTTCCGTCTCTTGCGCTTATAAACTCTGACTCTCCTCTGAATCTTTCGGACCAAAGAGAAGCTTTGTGTAGGACGGCTTTCTTCTTCTTCTTCCTTTTCTGAGAGATTATTTACGGCGACCGTCTCTGGTGAAACATTTCTGTCCTTAGCGGCCTCAAACAGCAACGGATCCTTTTTCAAATCAGGATCCTCGTGTACATTTGTCTCCTCGTCGATGCTTTTTGAGGATATTTCATTCCGTGCATCCACACTACGGAGGCGAGTGTTCCTGTCTTGGTGAGATGTTAGGTCCTCCTGGTCGGTCTGTGGAACTCTGAAGGGAAAAGAGTGGTCCGTTTCCAGCTTCACCCGAGAAACTTGAGCCTGTTTGGCTTTTTGCGTACAAGAATCCTGTCTGCATGGCCGCTTTCGTGCGAGAGATTTGTGCTTGGACCTGTCCCAGTAGGTGTTGCAGTTCCTCGGATAGCGCTCTCTGAGAATCAGAGATGCAGAATCAGGCGTCGATGTCTTTTTTAAATTGTGTCCTGAATGCGATCCCTCGTCTCCGTCAACAGTCTCTGAGGGATCAAGATCTCCCTTCTGCCCGAGGTCAGTTCTCCCACGTGGTCCAGGAACAATCAGAACAGAGGAAACGCTGCACTTTGGTCTAACAGGAATTAAAGAAAAATCAGAAATTAGTTGAGTGCTGTGAAATATGTATTTGATTGAGCCTAAAATTATGCACAGCCATGAGAAATGTTGATTTATAGTGAATTTCTGTTTCATTAATGGGCTTCTTTTGCTCTAACAAGTGACAAAAGGCAGTAAAACAATGAGTTGAGATGTTCATGATGGATTTTTGACTACAGTTGTAGATGCTAACAGTCTGTCTGCATGTCTCCATTGGGATGTTGTTCCTCACTTCTTTTACAATACATCATTTTGGACATTGCATTTTAATAAAAAACATACATAAAAAAAATACAATTCAAATTCATCATTAGCATCCTCTAACACAAACATCTTACTGTCTTTGTCACTTATTTGTCATTTCCAAGAGGAAACCTATTGGTCAAATAAATCAAAAGTTGGCATGAGTTTGAATAATTTGGGGTTTAATTGTGCATCAGCTTTGCTCATGACAACTGTGTATACATGTGTTTTACTTATTTAAGTTTCAGGTTTCAAAGTAAAAAAAAGTTACCTTTTAACTTTGGTTCTGATGTGGACGAAGTTGCAGCTCAGGGCCGAGACCAGTCCGTCCACCACCGAGTATTTATCACTCTTGGAGAAAGCCTTGTGACGGTCGCTCTGCAGATGCTGAACAAAAAAAATGACCCGTTTGAATCATGGATAATTACAGCTGTCCGGTAAAAGGCTACTGAGGGGACAATTTTCTCTATTGCATAAGCTCCTACATACAAAAAAAACAACTCCTTTTCCAAGCTTCTGCTACATGACAAACTGTGCACAGTGAGGGAAGGTAATTTACTGAGCAACCTAATGGAGCATTTTGATGATGAGCATCATTTCCATGATTACGTTAAACACCGCAGCAGCTCCTCCTCCCACCATTGTGCCGAGACTCAAAATAGACGGCAATTACAGATAAGCGCGGTTATTTTTCTGTGTCAATTATTGATTTGATTCAGCTCAGTGTTCATACATTTCATTTATACATTCGGAGCTGAAAGCAGCACCATGTTTAATTAAAATGAAAACGACACATACCGGACCATGTAACATGTATTATTATTATTATTTTTACAGCATCAGCATCATCAAGATGAGAAATGTGGAATTTTAAATGCAGTTTTTTTTCATACATGGTTCATATAAAGGCTGAATTACTGAATAACTGGAGGTTTATATTTGTTCATTTCTAATTTAATATCAAAACACATCTACGCTTTGATAAAAATGCTGTCACACTTGCATATATAAATGAGTAAAAAACACAAAATAATAAAGTTGCTTTCAGTAACTACGCAGTAAAGAGTGATCTCTAGACTGTTTTGATGTTTTTATAGCTATTTAATAACTTCACTTCGCTGTGTAATCCAATTAGAGTTTAAGACATCTTTCAAAATGAGCACATACAAAAGGTAATATTAGGACTTGAAATGACGAGTATCTAAATCATATACGCTCTGTGTTGTGTGCGTTTTCTGAAGTGCTATCTTACCATTGTGAGGCTGTCGTATTTGATCATGCAGCACTCGCAGTAGCCGCCTCGTTTCTTGTCTCGGTTCTTCTTTCGGCCGTGAGCTTTCTCCTCGCTGCCCGAGGCCTTCGCACCTCTGTACAGGACAGGAGTCCGGAAGGCAAAGAAATAAAAATAAGATGAAAGAGATGTGGAATTCTGCATTTTTTATGTGTTTTTTATTCCTTTTTGATGGGATTTTTTTTTTATTTTTTTGGAGCGCCTCAAGCAGAGCACCACAGAACTTGAAATTCTTGCTGCACATCCAGGAGCTTCAAAATTGACCAAACATACAACCCTGAATTAGGAAATGTACATTCATTAGTGAGTTGATTAAGTCCCATTCAGACATGAGGATAAATAACATTGCTGCCACCACCACAGTGACCGTATTTGTCATACAGATTGAACAGTAAATTACAGTAAAGTGAAAATATATTATTGCACTAATAAACAGACTAAGCCTAAATCCTGCAGCTGATAAACTGTGACTCTGTGTGAAAGCTCAGCTGATAACTTATAATTATGGGTAATTAATAAAGCTAGTGCTGCTGTTTTCTCTCTTTTGAGAGACTCATATGGATCCTGCTGCTGTCTGATGCTGCAAGAATTCAATAAACTCAGAGGAAAATGTCTGACAAACAGCTGGAAGCAACAAACTAAACTTCAGCTCCTGGATTACATTAATTATTACAAACTGTCTTTATTATTTTCATGGAAATTTCAGTTTTTAATAGATATAATAGATGTGAAGTGTTTTGTGATTTTAGAACTGCATCTTTTGCTCTCTGTGATGTTTTTGGACCAATATTGGTGCTGAAATATTAAAAATGTAAGTTAGTCAGTTTAAGTCACTGAAAATCTTCAGCACAGTTAGGAATTAGGAACAGAACATCCTGCATACAAACTTACACACAGCATTACAAATGTTGCTGATGCGAGTAAATTAAGGCTATATACTGACACTGAATATACTTAGGGTGAAATGTCAGGGGATACAACTTGCTCAACAGCAAGTGATTCAGTTGTGTGTGGTGAGAGGTTTTTCAAAAATGAGGCATGCAACTGTGCACATGTTAAATTAGCTAAAAGTAACGCTACCTATGTCCTCGCTGCTTGGTTCCAACAGGATCCTTCTCGTCGGGACAGAAGGGGCTGCAGGGAGCGACAGTCTTCAGGTTGAACTCTGGCATGTTTGGCATCGTGAGGTAGATTGGACGGTAGTGTCTGATGAGGACAGATACACGTTACACAGTGCACAGATGAAAACAACTTAAAGACGTTAGATTCGGACACAGGTTCTTGTGATAAAATCATCTCACCTGCTTGAATCTTCAACCTTGATGAAAGGTTTACTGATCCTCCCCCCTGCAACACACATCATGGATTGCAACACGTATTTACAGAACAACATGGGTACTGAACAGTCCTGCCTACAAATAAAGAATGATTCATAAAAATCAGCTCAGAAAACTTGCATGATCCTAATAAAGATATCTACCTTTGCATTTCTGAAAGACTTGCTTTGCTGCTGGCTCAGCTTTGACCTTTTAATAGTGACAGAAAAAGAAGTTGAAAACAAGACTTAATGTTGAAAAACAATCACTTTTATGATAATATTTCATTTTATAAATAATGCATTCAACCTGTGAACGTATGGTTGTTTTGGATGCAGCAGCTGCAGGAACCTGGCTGCTGCTGATGATCCTTTTTTTCTTCTGAACATAAGCCAACACATCTGCAATAAAACAACACAACTACAGCTTCATGCACAGCACAAATGCAAACAATGGAGAAAAATGGTTAAAGTGGTGCAACACAAACTGTGCTACATACCATCTATGTAGAGGATTTTCACACCCCACTCCAGAGCATTTGACAGGATCTTGTTCATTTGTACCCTCTCCTAGAAACAAACAAGTGAGTTTTAACACTGAAAAGCAAAAGAGGCAACTGGAATTCTTCAGCGACTATCATCAGCGTTGACTTAACTAACCTGCTCCTTCACTACTCTCTCCACCAAAGACTTCCCTCGGCTCGTGGCAAACTGCAAAACAGCGACAGAAAAATGAAAATGACTGATGTTAATGACTGGAAAAACAACGTACAAGACATGAGCGTCAGTACAATCTACAAACGTATGTGGTTGAACTTACGGCATCTGTTTGAACCTGGGACCTGCTTTTGCTGTCCCCGCTGACGTCGGGTCGGCGCGGGTTGGATCGAGGCTGTGGTGAACTCTGTCCAGAGTCGGGGCTCGGCACTGGAGAGTCATGTCTGAGGCAACGAACGTAGCGAGCCTCCCGCTTGTTCGACACCAAATACTTAATTTCCTTACTGAAGAACTTCTCAACAATCTGAATGACAAGAAGAAGAAACAGACAAAATTGTTAAACCTAAGGCGCGAAATAAATCCATTTCATATTCAAACAAAGCAATTAGCAAATCATAAAGAAGGTCGCCAGTTTGCGTCCCGATGGGGCACCGGAATCTTTCTGCATGGAGTCTCCATGTTCTCTCCGTGCAGCGTGGGTTCTCTCCGGGTTCTCTGGCTTCCTCCCACACAGTCCAAAAACATGTTGAGGTTAATTGGTGATTCTAAATTGTCTGTAGGTGTGAATGTGAGTGTGCTTGGTTGTCTGTCTCTAAGTGTAGCCCTGTGATAGACTGGTGACCTGTCCAGGGTGTCCCCTGCCTTCACCCTGAGTCGGCTGGGATAGACTCCAGCCCCCCACGACCGTAATGAGGATTAAGCGGTGGATGGAGAATGGATGGATGGATGGAAATTTGAAGCTATATTTGAATGACTGTATCAGAGCTACTAAAGATTAAAGCCTGAACATTTCACTGCTAGTTATTTTTCAATCATGCCTTTAATTCAGAATCTGCAATACTGGACAAGTGGATCAAAAAAATCTCTGATCATGGGTGAGTCAAAATGCAAAAAAAATTCATTAAAAACTCCATCTGGTTCAGAAAATATCACTGGTGGACTTCTGCATTATTAATTGTTTTTGTTACTGTGTCATCAAATATAGTGCTTTCTTCAACGTTTCTTTTTTTAAATCTTTCATCCCACCTATTATTAGATCTACTTGTGCAGTATAGCAGATTCTGAATCAATGTATGGATGAGAAATATCAGCAAAAATTTTAGACTTTCATCTTCCATAGTTTCTAAGATATTGTGGTTCAAACTGTCTCGTATTTCAATGCGTAAAAAAAACATGATAAAAGCGGGTCGACAAGCATTTTTTTCAAAAAAATTATCTTAAAAAGCACTTGATATCAATGTACATTTCACAGATACCATTTTAAATATCTGTATTTTATGCCATACATATGTGAAGTAAATCAGAGCTGGTCGAGCAGAAATTATTCTTAACATGTGATCATTTGAGATGAACTGACTAAAGAGTAAACTCGCTTCACAAACACAAAAAACAAAATTCAACCATTGTATTGCCAGCAATACTAAAAACATTCAAGTAATTGCTTGTTCTTGGTCTTATTTCAGTCACAGCATCATAACAATGACGTAAACTGATCATATTTCGGGAGCTGATAGGTCAGTCTTTGCAAATATAACGCCATAGCAACACAAAATATGATAGTATGCGTTGTGATGAACTCGGTAGCACATCCGCACAGCCTGACCGTACATATGTGAAGCTGTCTCGAGAGAAATGACTGATTCTAAGTTTCCGACAGTCACATCTGTCTGTGCCTCACCCCTCCCAGGTCTTTGATGTCAGCCTCCAGCCTCTCTGCTATTCTGTTTGACGGCAGGTCCAAGTAAAACACCTTCCCAGCAAAGGGTTTGACTTGTGCAGCAGCAGAAGACACGAGCGACGTTATCTTCATGTGGCTCAGCGTCGTCTTATCGCCGGCACTTCCACCTTTTCCTAAAAGACAATCAGAGGATAACAGAATAAATTAACGAGCTCAGTGGTATTCTTTTGCTTTAAACATTAATCAGATAACTCAACTAACACAAAAAAATCCATTAATGTTCAATTAGTTATGTATCAGGTCACTTCTGTTAACTCTTTATATGACACCCATTGCCTGTTTAATGTCAAGTTTTGTCCTCATCTGACTCACTTGGGGAAAAGATTATGTAAATTAGCTCCCTTGTCTTGGTTTGTCTTAAGATAAGCCGAGGATAAACTGGACTGAAGCCCACCAGAGCTGAGAGTTTCCTCCTGACATTTATATCACATCCTGCTGCTCAATCTTTCGCTTTAATTGTTGAAATCTGCTTTTAGAGAAAAACACACGTAGCACGTCACTCTCTTTTCTTTGCTGACTTTGTTGATTATTTAAATCTTCTGAAAGGTCATTGTGATTGTTGCCAACAAGCCCACAAAGCTGCTGTAAAGAGTCACAGTTTCTGCAGTGAAATTATTGGGAGCAATGTGGTCACATTAGGAATAAATCCAGTATAAATAGCACTACATTGTTATTGTCTGTTAAAGTTTCTCCTTGAGAATTACAACTGTTTCAGGTACATCAAATGGATTATTACAGAGAATTTTTGCAGTTGTGGCATTTTGGTAAGAATTGAAATGAAATAAATAAAAAATAAGGCAACAGACAGCCAGTCACAGATTGATAATGCAGTTTATTAGCCTACCATTACAACCAAGTGTGGATAGTTTAATTGGCTCAGTACAGTTTGTCTGTTTTATGAATGGCAGTGTCTTCTAAATCATGATTAAATGGAAATATTGATCAAAATCATTTTAAAAAACAGAATTTAAAAAAGGTCTGCCACTGCACTGTGTGATTTAGGTAGACTATGGGCCTGTATAGTTGGGATGCTGTCTTGTTGTCCTTTACAGAAATTTCTAATAAGTACATAAAGTAAACATATAAAAGGTAAAACATCTGACACTTAGTGCTGAACTATAGTATCAATATCCCTTGCAATATTACTTTCATCAACAGTTTGTGCAATATCAGATTCAGTAGGATTATTCCAAAATGCAGGCGTGAATATAGCAGGAGGTCCCTCCTGCCACCTGCTATCAGACTCTATAATGTGCAATAAAACCACATGGCTGCATAACGATGACATTTCATGTACATACACTTTTAAAATCCATCTTTTGCACGGTCTAATTTTGCACACTTGGTCCCTATTTGTTTATCTTATTTTTATTTTATATTGTATATTTTGTTTTATATCTTATGTGTCCCTTCAATGTTGGGTGTCTTGTGGGGTTGTCTGTGTTTTAATGTAACAAGTAATTTCCTGTAAACGGATCAATAAAGTAACTATCCTATCCTATTATGTGTAACATTTCACTTTCATGTGCAATATTTCAGTTTCAGGTGCAACATTGTCAATGTAGTGTGTCATTTTTTTTATGTGCAATATTTCAATATTATTGGCAGCATTATTTTATTTTACTTTTCTATACTGGTCTTATTTTAGGTATCACACTTATATTTTAATGCTTTTCTGATAGGCACTGCATTCATTCTCAAGTCATTTAGTTTTTTTCTGAACAATATCTGGCACAAGCATTTCCCTTGGGATGAATAAAGTTTTTATAATCCTATAATAAAAATGTAAAAGCTCTGGCTGTTCTCCAGTGATATCCAGCTACTTAAATTTGAGACATCTTAATATAAAATTTCACCAAAACAACAAAGGGGATTTAATTTAGTTTTTTAAAAATGACATTTATCACATTCTTTGCAGATCCACATCCACACAACACAACGAGTAGCTTTAATATATCTATATCTATACCTATACCTATATCTATATATGAAGAGTTCATTTGCCAAGACAGATAACTCCATTTTTGTAGATTTTAGAAAACTTATTTTTTTGTTGTTGTTTGCTTGAGATAGTATGAATCAAACCGAAGCTGAGTGGATTTGACTCAGTAGAAATGACATAAATAGAGATAACTTAAGTTTGATTGATGTTGTCTCAGGTAGACGATGGAAAAGTGGGTTTTCTGAAGGTTTGTGAAGACGGAGTTATCTGTTTTTGCAAATTAACTCTTCATAGATAGATAGATAGATTTGTTTATATCTTTAGCCATTAGTTAGTTGACTTTAACCTACGTTTCAAACACACATAAACAGCCAGTTAACATTCATATAACACGGAAATAAACATCATAAGTACCTTCCCACTTGGCTCCTGTTGGCCTCTGGGTGCGTTTCGGCTTCATTTTATTCTCTTTCATGGAGAAATAAATATTTTTTCTATTCGGTCAACATAACCCAAAGTCCTCTTCTGCCCCCTGCTAGTAAACAAGGATATAGTTGTTTACAAAGAGTATGACCAAACAAGAGCTTAACTTGTGAAACTGAGCCGAGACACGCAGCTCTCTGCCCCCTTTAACTTAAACCGAACTGCTTCAAATTGAATCTTAACGTACGTTCACAGCCGCGGCTCTCCAGCGGACTCACAGCTTCGCCGGTTGGCCGCTTAGCTCACATTATTTCGCGGAATAACGTCGATGAGAGCCGCGGTAGCATGTTTGCCAACGTAAAATATCCACAGAGAAGCGGTTTAACAAAAAAAATTCAGCCACTTTTGGTCAACTTTTTTTCTATCGCTGTTTGTCTACAAAGTCCATTTCCCGCTTTAAATCCGGTGAAGAGAAAGTCTGTGATGCCAGGTTTGACACCTTCCGTCCACGCAATCACCACCAGTATAAACAGCCATGCAGCTACACGTAACTGTTAGTTTTTAAAATAAATTAAGTTCATGTTTTAGTCTTTAGCAACACATTTGACTTTGGTAACTTTACTGCACTTATATAAGCTATATTTTAGGAAAACAGAGTTATTTGCTTTGGAACGGAAAAGCTCCAAACCTGGCAACACTGAGAAATAGGTAAACGCATTTATGTTTGAATATGATGTTTCGTCATAATTGTAAAATTTAATAAAGTGATATTAAATAAAAAACCTGTATCGGTAAAATGTTTAGCTAAAAGACTAATCATGTTTTTATATGTGTGGATATTTTATTTTTGGCTAGCTAATGTAAAAAAGTACGAAGATTTCAAGAATGTGCGCCGCTGAAATCAGTATTACGTCCTGATGTAATGTTTGTTATGTGTTAATAGCTAACTGCTGACCCCGGACACACACCGACACACGTGCTGTAACTGTCAGAGCCTTCAGGACAGCAGCAAGAAACACAAATTCTCAGAGTTATGTACGTGTTCATTGACGACATCGTTGCTGCTGAGGCGCTATAGCAGGTATGAAGTTGGCTAAGCTAGTTAGCTAAGCAAGGTTAGCCAGAGAAGTGTGTTCCTCATGTGACAACGCACCAACTAATCCAGGGTTTCTGTGGACACGAATCAGCTTGTTTGGCAAATGATTGTACACGTGTTAACTAACGAATGGATTTAAATGCGTGTAGCGTCATGTCATGTTGCGCATCTGTTGTGTTTCCTGTAGACAGTATGAGTGCTCAGGGTGCTGCTCCTCCGGCCACTAATGGCATCACTCCGGTTCAACAGATGGTGGCGTCCTGCTCCGGAGCCATCCTCACATCTCTGTTCGGTGAGACGCCCACAGATGTGTTCATTTAAACCTGATAGTTGCACCATTTCGAGTTATTTCAAAGTGTAATGAGGATAAAACGTGAGGCAGCCACATCGATGGGGAGTACGGGCAGCCAGAGCAGTGGTTCTCCAACTATGTGCCTTAGAATTAGTCTTATTTATCATTATTGTCATCATAATTAACTATGATCACATGATAAGAGCAAGACAAGGATGGCCAGTTTTAGCCTCAAGCTGCTATATCTTATAGGTTTGTAAAACTAATTTTTGCTTTTAAAAATAACTTATTTAACAGTAACTTGAATGACTGATTCTTTAAATAGTCCAGTAGAAATGGAGTAAAATCACCCATAAGATCCCATAAAACAATAATTAGACCAGATCTGTTGTCTGTGTTGCTGATTAACAAACAAAACAAAGGCAAGAAGACACTGCAAATTCTTTCCATGTGCGGCCTAATAATAGCTGATCGACCTACAGCAGCAGGACAGAACCCAGCTTTTTCATTTTCAAAAAGCTGCTCATGCCTTTTTATTCATAATCCTGCCTTCGTGAATCAGCATACTGGCTGCAAAGAAATGTCAACAATGTAAACTGTGTGCTTTCTTTGCTTGTGCAAACACAAAATGCCAAGCAGTGTGAGGTGATGGTGTGTCCCAAGGACCCAAAACTTGCATTTTTGATCAACAATATGGTATTCATTTGGAGAGCTTTACTACGTGATGTGGAATATTTGTTACTCTTCCTATTTTTGTAATTTTTTTTTTTTTTTTTAATTCAAAGTTTTTTCCTATTTTTGTAATTTAAAAAAAATGCAAATCTCGAGCGATGCATAAATTGCTCAGACTTAATACCTGTCATGGGTAGTCTCTCCATTGTTGCAGTTTTAGTTGAACCTAGCAGTAATGCAGTTAAATTCAACAGTGCTGTATTGTTTTGAGCACTGATGCACGTTAATAGTCATTTTGGAAGCTGATGTCTGTTATATTTAGTGGGTCCAAACAAGCACAAATACTTCCCTGAAAGTGACCATGAAGTTCAATCAGCACCTTCTATAAAACAGTTACAACAAAAACTAAATATTAGAACTTTCGTGAAGGAAGATTTACTACAAACCTGTTGTCTGAGATTTCCGAATACACTCTCATATACATTTATTTTCAGTTTCTGCTGAAGGTACAGGATTGTTTTTTTGTTGTAGTAATGAAGTCAAACTTTAATTTTGGCTCACATTCAGACACCGACGGGAAGCTCCGCAGCCTTTGGCTCGAGGGCCAAACAAAAGGCTGCTGAGTTGATGAGCTTCGTTGTCACAAAGCCCAGAAGAACAACAACGAGCCAGTATGGATTTTGTGAAAATGATAATGTGGGGTATTCTTAGTAGATCCTGTATGCAACTTTCACAAAACAAGAAGTGACCTGATGTGCACTGTGATCGAACACTGAACTGGTTTCAAACTGTTGTACATTTTGTTTGTTTGCTGGAATAATTAAACAACCAAAACTCTCTTTACTTCAGAAAACCGTTAATAATCATAATAATAATGTAAAATACATAGCATGGGATTTGCAGCAACCAAGTGGCACACATCAGTGTCATTATAGATACATGTATAGGTATTGATGTGCTGTTTGAGAAGAAAGACACACAAAGAAAGACATGACATTGTTGCACACGTGTTGAGTTGTTGCTCTTTTTCAGTCACACCTTTGGATGTGGTGAAGATCCGACTGCAAGCACAGAGAAGTCCCTTCCCCAAAGGTACATGAATTTAAATTGAGTTTTTATTGGCTTATAGTATAGTAAATATTAATGCTAATATATGTTGTTGTTTTTAAATGTCTTTTAGGGAAATGCTTTGTCTACTGCAATGGACTCATGGACCACTTATGTGTGTGTGAAAACGGCAACTCCAAGGCCTGGTACAAAGCTCCGGGTCACTTCAGCGGCACTTTGGTAAAACATTTGCATTTTGTTGACAATACTAATACACAAAGGTTTAGTAGTCAGACAAGCTCTCGGTCCCGTTTGGGTTTTGTTTTTGTGGTTGATAAAGCCTGGTACTCTGTGTGTAAAATAGAGCTGCAGCGATTATTCAGTTAGTTGTCAACTATTTAATTAAGGGGCAACTATTTCAGTGATCAAATTATTGGTTTGAGTGGATTTTTTTAAAAGAAAAATAGTGAAATAAGATAAACGACACTGATTGGAGGTGTTACAACAAAACAATTCATGTATAGTGTAGATAAGTAACCTCAATAACTATTATTTTACACTAGAGCTGCAACAATACATTGATTTGTTGTAAACTAATTAATTAATTGGTAACTATTTTAAGAATGTCTTTAAAGAACATAAAGAGAAAAAAACAGGTTTTGCACCAAAGAGCTGCAGAGATTAATTAATCAACTATTTTGAAACTTGATTAATTAATTTAAGTAATTCTCTACAAAAAAAAAAAGTGAAAATTCTTTGATTGACCGTTAAATGTGAATATTTTCAGTTTTATGTCCTCCTCTGTGACAGTAAACTGAATATCTTTGGACAAAACAAGACATTTGAGGACGTCATCTTAGATATTTTTTGACATTTATCAACCAAAAGACTAATTGCTTGATTGAGAAAATGATCGCTGGTTGTATAACTGATAGAAAACATCACTGACTCTTCCTTCTGCGTCTCTGAAGGATGCCTTCGTCAAGATAGTCCGTCACGAGGGCATCGCGTCGCTATGGAGCGGTCTGCCTCCAACCCTGTGAGTGTCTCTTTCATTCCCTCTACATTGAACACATGTGATGGATCAATGGTCATTTATCCTGTTGCTCCCTCTGAGGCGGTACTAATTGGTGAATGAGCCGCCACAGGCCTCTTCCAAGTGTCATTACCAAAGATTGATTCACGCTAAGTGACACTGAGCTGTATCTTCACATTACTCATGAGTTTGTTTTTGTGGGATGACTTTCGCGTGACGTGTCAACTCTGCAGCGTGATGGCGGTGCCGGCTACGGTGATCTACTTCACGTGTTACGATCAGCTGTGTGCAGCTCTGAGGGTCCGGATGGGAGACCGAGCTCAGGAGGCTCCTCTGCTGGCAGGAGCCATCGCCAGGGGTGAGCTTGCTTATTTTACTGAAGAAAAAAACAACTGCTTCCAGCTCTAACAGGACACATATTGATAACAGTACAAGCTCTTACATCTATTACTGGTAATAGTCTGTCGTTAGGTAATTACAAAGCTCAACCCTCTCGACTCAACACAGTTTCTGGGCGTTTTTATTGTATTTCCTGTTGGATTTTTCGTCACTGCAGCCTCAATTTTCATTGCAAAATGTTTTCAGTGCAGCATGACACACTTTTTAATGGCATAAACCACAAAAAAATAAAATGGAAGTTGATTTTCTTTGATTGTTTATGTGATTATTTAAGTATGCACATGTGTTACTCTGTAATATACATATTTTACTACTTATCTTAATTGGTTTCAATACTATCCTACTATAACATCCTGCAGTTCAGACAGAATTACCAGAATATTTGTAAAGTGAATGTTGGTTCTGGCTGAGTCACTCATAACTTCACAGCTGCACCGAGGAACGCAGGTGTTTTCGTTTCGATTCTGATTCAATATTCTGTTCATATTGATCCCACGTGCATTTTTTTTGTCAACAGGAACAGAAATGAAGGTATGTTGAGTATAAAAAAAACCCTCAAATGACCAAAGAGATGCGTGAACATAGTGACTAGAAATGCCGTCGTTCATGATGCCCATAATGATGAATAATAATCTTGATCTACAGAGCACTTTTGAAAACATAAGTACTTTAGAAGGCAGCCAATCAGAACAGAAAAGTCATAAAATATTAGAGTTTTAGTTTTAAACACAACATGGTGTTTAAAAAAAAAACTCACAGTGCTGTAAAAGGTAGAAACATTTTTGGAAGAAATAAAAGACAGCTTAAAGGAAATAAAAACTCAATTATTTTCAGGAAAAGTTGTCGGATTAAAGTATGTTTTAAGACGAGAGTTCGTTCTGTCGACATGGTTTTCTTGAACAGACTCCTTCCAACCCGGCCATTGGAACAAAAAGAGCTTAATGTCCGATTTGAGTTTTAAGGCGACTAAAAGATCAGAGAAAACCAGGAGAAAGGCCATGAAGGGCTTTAAAAGTGATCAATAATATCCTATAATCTATCCTAAAACATACTGGAAGTATAGAGGCTAAAACAGGAGGGATGTGCTTTGTTTGTTCTTTCCTAAAAGCCCGGCAGCTGAGTTCTAAACTATCGACGCAGACGGTCAATATGGAGACTGTCCACCGTTTGCTGCCTACGTTTACCCCACTCATCATGGATCTGCACAGATTGCAAATAACATCTTGATCCAGAGCTGCTCGCTCCTCCAGTAGAGCCTGTCGAAGCTGTTGCTGAGTTTCGTGGTTTTTTCTCGGTGGTGGAATCGTGCACATTCAAACCTGCAGCTCTTCACCTACAGCTCCATCCAGCATGATGTCCTTTTGTCTGGCTGAACACAGCATGTTGCATAAGTGTTTTATCACAGCTGCTTTTGTGTTGTTGTTTTTTTATCAGGATAGAGTCGAGCTTTGTTGAGCTTTCAGAGCTCACTGAGCACATGGCAGGATTTGGTCTTTATTTTAGCAACAGAGGCCTAGTGATGAAAAAAACATTGCAGACTTCACACGTAACGATATTTCTGAGGATTGTATGACTTTTCTGTTCTATTTTCCTGCATTGTGAAGCACTTTGAAACCTGGATTTTGAAACGTGTTCTATAAATAAAGATTGTTATGTTATATTAGCCAAAAATATAGAAGTGGTGCATTTCTTTTCTTCCACAAGTGTAGAATTTGGTACGTGTAATTACCCTTTAAAGTAGGCGTGCCAAATAATGCGACTTTTGATTGAATATGACTTAAATTAGGGGGTTTTTTTTTTCGAAAAATGTGAGCGCAACACAGGAGTAGTTTCAGGACTGTTAGAAAGCTGAAAATCCAACAAATTTTTCTATTTTTGCACTTTCTGACTGTGATAAATGTTGTAATTTTCACGTTTTTTTAAACCTCAACATTCTTTCAAACATTGGTTTTGGGGTTTGGAGAGCTAAAAATATACGCAGCATTTTGAGTCATCAGTATTACGGTTTATTTCAGCATGTCGCAGTATTTTAATAATGCTGGGGATTTAATTTCCAGATTACTTTAAAAGAGCAACCATTCTTAACTTTTGGCTTTTTGTCCCACATCAGATTTCATTTAGAGAAGCTGAGAGATGTTGTTACCATGACTCATCGTCTGATTCTCTTATTGATAACTGAGTGATTATTAAAACTAACTTATTAAAAAAAGAACAGCAGGAGGAGGGAAATCAGTTTCATCAAGACGTAAATCAGCTTTTTAATTAAAATGCTCCACCGAACGGAAATTGGCCCTTTTTTCACGTCTTGTTTGTGGTTTCTTTGTGCGTCAGTGGGCTCGGCGACGGTGATCAGTCCTCTGGAGCTGATCCGGACGAAGCTTCAGTCTCAGAAACAGTCGTACGGGGAGCTGACTCAGCTGATCCGCTCGGCGGTGGAGGCTGAAGGCTGGCGGTCTCTGTGGAGGGGTCTGGGCCCGACGCTGCTCCGGGACGTGCCCTTCTCCGCCATGTACTGGTACAACTACGAGAGAGCCAAGAGCTGGCTGTGTGCGCGGCACAACACCAGGGAGCCCACGTTCACCATCACCTTCATAGCCGGAGCCGTGTCGGGATCCGTGAGTTCTTTTTCTGAAGCGGCTTCCAGTCTGCAGAAGCACAGTCATGACTCAGCAAAAAAAGAACAAACAATATCACAATTCATTATTTGCTCTTTGTGTTTGCTTTCAGGTTGCGTCCATTGTGACTTTACCTTTCGATGTCGTCAAGACAAGGAGACAGGTGGAGCTGGGAGAGCTGCAAGCAAAGAACTGTAATTATGCCATTATTTCTTTTATTTATTATTCGATATTTAGACTAATAAATGCATCTAAAGAGTGCAAAAGTTTTACAACAGTGATTCAGGGTTAAGCAGAAACACTGTGGAGTAGTTGAGCTAATTTATGATTTACTAGTTAAATTCAGGAGAAAAACAGCAGGCAGATAAAATAGCAAATCTATGGGAAGCTGGTCTTTTTGTATTTTCATTGTTAATAGCTACAACATAAGATTTCAGTGGAGTTATATCAAGGTGACTAAAGATTCTTTTCACCTCTTATCAAACACAGTCAGCTTTCTTGGCCAAGAATGTGAGCACATACAAGGAATTTGACTTTTAAAATACGCCAACAAAATAAAATACATGTGCATTTAAACAAGTTAAAGAAGGTATAAAACTATAGATATGTGTAAGATAGCATGTTGAAAGTGAATCAGAAAGCCTTCTTCAGTTTAAATTAAAGGCCAATTTGTGTTTTTCAATACTGTGTCCACAAGCAGATGCACAACGTAAATCTGTAAATCTGATCGTCCACCCAAAGTGTGAAGCCTGTAAGAAAAGAGCAAAAGAGTCTTAAAGAAACTGTGTTCAACATAAGGAGGAATACAATCCTCACATAGCTATTGTAGTGTGACTACATCGTCCGCTTTTATGAAATAAACCCACCAGACTTTGTTTTTATAGCACTTCTTGTACAAATAAAGTGCTTTACGGGACGGCTGGAATGACAATAAAAAGACAATAAAAAACAGTCCCACCATACCAACATAATGTTAGAAATGAAGGAGTCAATGAAACAGGGAGAGGAAACGCTGTCAGAAATAAATATGAGGAAACACCAGAGGCACGATCAGTCAAAAGTCATAGAAGCAAATAAGACAATGACAGCAAGGGAGGCGATTAAAAGACGTCAAATACACAATAGCAAAATAATAGATGATAAAAGATGGATTAAATAGATGGAAAATATAAATGATTGCCAGCATTAATTTTTACTGTTCTGTTCTAGCCTTATTTACTTGTACTCTGTACAAGTAGGGCCTCGTGCTCAGCCTGTGGCACTAATAATAGTAATAATAAGAAGAAGAATGATGATTGGATGGATGATAATAATAATAATTATTACTATTATTATTGCACATAATCTTAAAATATTGTTATTATTATTAGTAGTATTGCTATAAATCAAAACAAATAACAAAATCAGTCAAAAGTCAGACTGAAGGGAAAGATGTTGGGTTTGTGTTTAAACATATCAACGCTCTTTGCTGTTCCATGAACGCAAATAACAAAATGCAGCCTCACTGTGGAGGTTTTGGTTTAATTAAAAGACCAGATAGCCTTGAGGTTCATTAGATAAAAGCGACTCTAATAAACATGTAGGACAAAGGCCATTAATAACTTAATGAATCAATAACATTCAGACAGATGTTCCGTGCAGAGACTTCAAAACTCCTGTAGCGTTTGCTCTCCTTCCGGTCTTAGTGGACACCCGAGCTGCTGAGTTTTGAAGCGGTGGAGATGTATTTTTATTCTACAGGTAATAAAATAAAACTGCATAATGAATGGATGAGCTGGCTTTAACCGGCGGGCAGTTCAAGGTGTTATTGATCAGCCGAATTTACGCTGTCGGACGTCACGTGACTGTTATCAGGGTCACAAGTCAAAGTCGGGATGAAACTGCAGCATTAGTGGCTGATAAGTGTCTATTAACCTTGTCCCTGTTGAACATTAAACATCTTCTCTCTTCATATGAAATGTCTCTGGTCCTTTAGCTGTATGTAGACCGTAGAAAGTGTGTAGGGTGTTTTACTGCTGTCAGATTTGGCAAACAGAAACAGTATGTAAAGGTTCATCTAACTGTTTTTTTTGTGTTTTTAGTGTCCGGTGATGTGTCCTCCTCCACCCTCAGTGTGATGAGCAGGATCGTGGCGCAGGACGGCTTTGGCGGACTCTTCGCAGGTAGACACCTCCTGGATATTTTGCCTTCTATATTAGAATCCAAGTAAATGATTCATAACGTCGTATCCGTCGCCCCTCTGCCAGGTCTCCTCCCCAGACTGATCAAAGTGGCTCCGGCCTGCGCCATCATGATCAGCTCGTACGAGTTCGGAAAGGCCTTCTTCCGCAAACACAACCAGGAGAGGATTCTGGGGCCGCCGCAGACCAGCAACACCTGAGAGACTGAACAACATTAAAACTGCACTATACCTAAACACAAGAGGCTTGTATTGCCAAATTAAGAACTTAGGTTGAAATGAGAGCCAAAAAAGTAAATAAAAGAATCACTCACTTGACCCTTTTCTACACTGCAAGATATTACAGATGATCAAATTTATATTAACTGCTTTTTTTATTGTAGTATTTATAATAAAATGTTCCGTTGTTTTATGTTCACGCCTGTAGATGCACAACGGGAAAGAAATATTTTTATCAAAACGATGTGAGATGTATTTACCTGCCAGCAGATGGCAGCCACAGTGTTGTTAATAACAATAATGTCATTTTCCAGGTGTTTAATGTGGTTTCTTTGTGATCCTGTGCCTCAAGTCATGAAGTTAGAGTCTAACCTCAAAGTCAGTGTATCTTCCGAACCTCCATGTTTTTGCACTTGTGCTCCAACACTGTGTTGATGTTGTGTAACAACAGAGACGCACAAAAGCTCACGTAGTGCCAGCACAGCATCGAGCAAGTGTTAAGCAACAATAGTTCTCTTTTTTTCAATTTGACAAAAGATGACCGACACATGCACACTTTATGAAACTTCTCAAATGTCATATATACACACCAGATTTTCATGTCATTGACTGTATGAAGCTTTATCACCTCTTGTTGACAAGAAACTCAAGCCGTCCTGTCATATTTTCTGTGTTTCAGCAAGTGGAGTTTATTCAGAATGAAAGATAAAAAGGCAAATAAATAAACAATAAAACGTCTGCTGTACGTCTTCTGTGCAAATGACTGCTGGAAAAAAGCTGAAGGCAAATAGAAAAGCTCTAGTATATGAAAGAAGTGAGTCCACCCCTGTGCATCATCCCTGAAAAACCAAATGATGTGTGTAACAGTTGAACAGCAGAAAATTTCCTCTCATGAACAATCAAAAACAAACACTTTAGAAAGACTGTATTAAAACTTCAGGCCCCAATGTAGAAACTCAATGCAACAAAAGTGTGATAACTAAAGTCCACCCATGTTTTCCAATCAGTCTAACTGCATAAACGTGGTTCTAAAATGAGCTGTGAACAGCACAACTTTCTCAGTTTTGGACCTATGAGCTGCAAATATGTCTGCATCATGGCTCTATGTGGAAAAGAAAAAAAAATCAGATAGTGAGACTTCAAAAAGATGGCAGAGTGAGCATTAAAAAAAAAATCAGTGGAAACAGTGTCAGCAGTAATCAGGAGGTCTACAAGGAGCCATAGTAGCACTAATCAGGGCTGCAGTGGTTGTCCTCCTGCAATGACTCCACAGACAGTGAACTAGCAGGTTGCAGGCTATGAAAAAGAGACGGCAGCTGCTTCAGACTTGGTACAGGGGTTATCAATGGAAGCCAGAGTTAGTGTAAAGCTCAGACAGTGTGAAGGACGCTTCAGAACATCAACCTCTACGGATGGACGGCAAGAAAATCACCCCTTGCTTGTTCACTTTGGCACAAAACTGCAATATGAAACTTTGCTAAAGAATATGAAAAGAAGCCTGTTAAATGTGTTGGTCTCAGATGGAGTCCAGATGTTTGGCGTGAACCTGACCAGGACTAACAGAGTGGATGCATCGTCCTGACAGTGAAGCACGGAGGTGGCAGCATCATGATATGGGGCTGCATGAGTGCAAAAGATGACATTTGTAGATTAAACCAGAATAGTGGTCGACTCCCAGCAAATCCAAACAGATATAATTTGACGTCAGAGAAAACCCCCAACTGTTCAACTTAGAAGTAATGCAATTACTGCCAGGTGATACAATTTACAATAACTTGACATTTAACTGATATGTCACAGGGTTGCACTCACTTCTGTTGTATACTGTCTGAGTTCAGTGTTGAGGTACACGGCTAGTCACCTAAAATACAAATGACATTATACAGATATTCCGCTAATACACTTGTTTCTCGTTCTCAGAATATCTGCTGCACGTTATTCATCACCAAACGCTAACACAATTCATAATACAGAGTATAAGGAATGATCTATTCGTGGTCACCAGCAATTACAGTGAAATACTGCATTTTACTAATTAAAGGGAATATTATATTAGTCTCAGCTTTAAAGCAAAACCCAGAACTAAATCATCACCTGAGAACAAAACCATGTGATACTGCATGATGCACAACACTGACAAAATAACACTGAAGAAGAAAAACATTTACACCTGAGAACAGAAGACTGTGCTATCCCAAACTGTGACGACATAATCTGACAAAATACACGTGCATTTGCCGTCATACGTCGAAGAAATGACGAGAATTTGGTGGAAGCAGAACAGAAGAAAACTAATGGATCCTTTTAACTGTAGAAAATAACTCGTAGTGACACTCAAGCTTGCAGTATTTTGCGTTTTCTCACAGCTCTGATCTGATCTACAGTCATTATTTTCATCATAAAACCTTCTCAGAGTGGAACGTACAAATTATCGCAAAATGACATTGTAGTTCATACATTAACATTCTAATATTTCAATTCATTTGCTCCACAGATCAAAACACCAGCTGAACAAAATAACCTAAACATACTCTGATGAAGTTACATTTAAAGATCCTCTGAAGTGTTGGAGGTTGTTTTAATGGTACATTATTAAGACTGATGGAGCTGCTCTGAGTTTTCACAAACAACATGCTACACCAGATCCTCAGCTTGCAACTCAACTTCCGTCTCTTAAAGCTCTCGGCTCCACATACGGAAAATAAATAAACAGAAAATCACCTACATTGAGAGAAAATTCCTGGATTGTCTGGCAGGAAGCCGTTTTTTTTTTTTTTAGCTCTACGAAGGAGTGATGCCCGGACTACTGATCTCCGTCGCTGGACTGGCCAAACACTCACTCGACTTCAGGCTGGCCAGAGACTTGTAGCTGGCTACCGATGTCAGGGAGCCACACAGACCTCGTAGAGAGGGAGTTTCCTCTTTACCTGAAGCACAAAGTTAATGTTTACATCAGAGGTGGAGGTGTTTTAAACAGAGGTGCTGCAGAATGGGCGAAAATTGCAAAAGGTGTCCCACAAGGCTCAATCCTGGGACCTGTGCGGTTCATTATTTATATTGATGATAAAGTTTCCTCTGTAAATGTGCATCTTTATGCCGATGATACAACTTTGTACTGTACTGCTGATACTGTTAGTTCTGCTGCTTTTCTACATTACAAGTTGCACTAAGTAAGCATAAATTAGTCCTTAATGCAGATAAATTCACTGGAGCTCAGAGTAATGATTGTGGCAATCTTGTCATCTTTACTATAACAGGCACAAATGTTGAATGGAATTTAAATTGATAAGAAGCTTCATGTAAACATCATGACAAAAGGGGTTTCTTTTACAGGATTAAATCTTTTTTATATATTTTTTTGCTGCATTTAGGCAGTTTTCTGATCAGTGTTGGACTGTGGTGACATTTTATACATGCATGCATCAGGTATGACTCTTAAGCTCTTGGACACAGTTTATCACTCTGTTTTGTGATTAATTACGAGTGATAACTTTAACACTCGTCACTAGAGGCATATGCTGAAGTTGAATGGCATTAGAAACTGAGTTTTATTCATTTATAAAGTTGTTACTGTGTTTTTTTTTGTTTTGTTTTTTTAACCCCCTTACTTTACTTTTTTTCTGTCTTAAAATAAAATAAATTTCTTTTTGGCAAAATTTTCAATGAGATGTGAAAAAAAAGTGATTTTTGCTGAAATATCACAATTATCAGCTTAGATTGCTTCTGTTTTTACACTGTCTCTAGATGTTGTTTTTTTTTTTTTATTCTACTAGCTTTACCTTTTAATGTTTTTATTGATTGTTCTCCAAGTTTCATGCTTGTGTGCCTGCATCTTTTATTTTCTAACTCGGCTATATGGTAAATGGGGTCTCCATACTCTAAAGCATTCAGAGGTTGCATAAAGGTTAAAATAAATATACCTTGGTGGGGCCACTGTGCGTTGGCCGGCCGGGCCTCCAGACTCAGTGTTTGTGACGGTTCGAGGGAAGTCTGCGATAGACTCATGTCTGCAGACAGCTGCTCCAGACTCTGGAAGCTCTTCCTGTCAGGAGACGATCGATAGAGAGCAAACACACATGATTAGTGCTGACAAGGACGGAAAGTGAATCAGCAGTTTTTGATTGCTCCTTTAAATGATTGAACACCTGCAGGTTTCAGGCTGTGCGTCAGATGGAAACGATTTCAGTTTGTCAGCTTGGGTCGTAGAATTTTCTTCGGAGTAACAATTACTTGAATAATCAAAACTTATTGACGTGTTTCCTCCTGTTTCCTGTCTTATCTTTCTTGAGGGTTCACTGTCTTTGCAGTTTATTAATTAATACATATCAATTAAATTGAGTGCCTCAAGAATAAGGTTCATCTTACAATCTATAGAAGTGTAATGGAAGTATAGATTTTGCTCCGTCTCAGCCTCAGAGTATCTCCTCACTGATATTCAACTGTCAGTATGTCTGTCTATGCAGCACATCACTGATTTTTTACAGCATGACTTTAACCGTCTGAACCCTAAAAACTGCTTTAAAAGAAATGCTATCTTAAATATAATTTTGAATTGCAACATTTATCAGAGCCAGAAACTGTAAAAACAGAAAGAAATATCAGATTTCCTTCTTTCAGATGGTCCTTAAAGGTACCAATCTTTCTGGAAAATAACCCAATCTTAGCTTAAAATTGCAAAACATGTAATCAAAATCTCTTTATACTACATTTGTCATTTTAAAATAAACAAAAATAAATGGTTTAAACTGAACAGATTCCGTAAAGACTAAAAATTCTGCGCCCCTAACTGCAACTGAAAACCCACGGCGGACTCGTCTACTACCAACAGTGACGTGACGAGAATGAAGTTACTATTCCACTGAGCTGCTGGTTGTGTTTACACGGAGCAGAGAGGAGACAAATTAGAGAGACGGAGAGCAGAATAAAACCGATACTGGATCAATAAAATAAATGCAGCATGGCATAAAAACAACAAACAGAGGAGCAGGTTGTTGGAAGACACGTTCAGCGTAGTGGAGTTGGTGTGCAGAGTGGTGTGAAAAATACAGACTGTAAACAATCTAAATAGTCAAATATCTAAAGTATTTGAAATCATTTGTAAATATTGCATATATTTGTTTTTGTTTTTTTGTTTTTTTTTTAATTTGTAAAATCAACCAAAGAAATGTTTATTTTTTAAATGATTTCTGTCATTCTAACTGTGCCATACAGCGCAGAAGATGTTTCTGAATTCTTTTTCCTTTTAAACATGGACATACTGTTTCCATAGAGGTGCAGGACTTTATATTGCAGTGAAAAACGATCCCATAGTGAACAAAAATGTGACAAGAGCAAAAAACAACCAGCTTGGAGTACAATTCGGAGACAGTCTAAGCTTCTCTGATGCCATTTGTTTGGGGAGGAGATAAAGATTATGTACAGCCCTAAAAAATGTAAACGTAAATAAGGATGCTGTGCAATTTTACAGAAATGTTTCTGTTAAACAGTTATACTTCTCCTAAAAGGAGAAAGCAATCTGCTTTATATCTTGTGCATTGCGCGCTGCTCTGTTTTACCCCCTGTACGGTGTTATTTTCTATTCTATTCTGCTGCTGTAACACTTAGAATTCCCCACTGCGGGACCAATAAAGGTTTAATCTATCTATCTATCTATAGAAACAGCTGATGATTCCCATTGTATGAACACTGTACATTGTTTTCCATCTTACTGATAAAGATAAATGAGCAAGATCTTAATTCCATATCTGTTCAGGATACTTATGAATGTAATTATCATAGAACAGACTGAGCCCACAGCTTATACTCTAATTAAAATACAAAGTGTAACCTTTTTTGAAATACTTTTTCTATTGATCAATAAGTCGTCAGTGATGCTGAACACACTGTGCAGCTGCAGATTATTCAGTAGAATTCTGTCCTCAGATTACATTTGATTTCCTGTCGCTGACATCGTTGTCACGTCGACTTTAGCTGACGGAGAAACTGTGTTTGATGCCGTCAAGTTTATGCAGCGATGTTTCACCGCAACACATTTTCTCCAGCTTGTGTAAATACAGAATAAGACAGACATAAATGTGGACGAACTGAAGCGTGTCTGCCTCAGCTTCACGTTTAGTCACTAAAGTTTGTGGTTTATTTATTCCTCACAGCTCAGGAGTCACACGAATACGATGTCATGTATTTTCATGTTCTTAAATTTGAATAAATGTTGCTTTTTAAAAAACTAGAAGCTAGAAACTAACAGACGCCTTCTATGTGCGCCTTCTACATGAGCAGATGATAGCAAACATCATAACCCCACACTTCTTTTTCATTTTTGCTTTAACTGCGGAGTTTTTACCCCTTCCAATTTTAATTTAAAGTTTCTGATGTGATGTTTAAATGTGCACAGACGTCTACGTACTCGTCCCACTGTCCCGTGTTCTTCCTGTACAGCAGCGTATCCAAGGCAACGGCGTTGGCGTCCAGGGCGTCAGGAGACGGCCACTGATTGGTCAGATGGGCCGTGAGCTCCTGTCTGGACCGCAAGTCGTTGTTCTTCAGCACTGTCCTGAAAAAATGAGATGCTCGGAGTTAGCAGCATTTATTCTAACACATTCCTCTCAGACGTGAAACAAAAAAAAAGGGCAGAAAATAAGCAAAAAATATAATAAATAATATAGAAATTGTGATAATATTTTTGAATCAATATTTTAGTTATGGTTTCTCCGACACTTTATGTCAACAAATTCAAATTATAACTTCCTAAAAAAGTAAAAAATCTACTTTTAGCGATCTACAGCCAGCAGGCCGCACTTTGACACATCTAAATGCTAAATGTGATCACCCGTTGGTTTCCTGCAGTGGTTTTTAAGTTCAGTGTGGTGGTTTGGCAGCGCCTGACTCCTCGTACTGCTAATTAAGACAATTAGCAAAGAGGTTGTGTGTCCAAAATCCCATCCCGTCTTCTCAGCTCAATTGCTCATTAAGTATTTATTTCACTAAGGTGTGGTGCACGTAAAAGAAATTGCATAACTCGACCTTTCCAACAATCCTAGCTGCTTCTCTGTGCAACATAACGCCAGTGAGAAAAAGTCATTTGAATTTACATCAAACCAAATCTGAGATAGAGTATAAATAAAGCTGTTCATTCATTTACACACACAATGATCTGGTTTGAGTTACTCATGAACTCATTGCATTATGTTCATATCTATAAATGTTATTGTCTATGAAATGCAATAATTTCAAAGATGTATTTATCTATTGCAACTTGTGTGTGTGTGTGTGTGTGTGTGTGTGTGTGTGTGTGTGTGTGTGTGTGTGTGTGTGTGTGTGTGTGTGTGTGTGCAAACAGACATTTGCTTCTTTGCCCCTTTTTGCCAAAGGCTACTGTCACTTGAGGGAAAAAAATGTCAGTTAAGCACATATTTTTCCTAAACTGTCAGCTATACCATTTTCCACCATCCTACTTGTGATATTTGCAGATTCCAGACAGTTTCCCCTCCACAATAATGAAAAAAATATCTCTACTAGCAGCATTTTATAGTGAGATACGTGTAAAAACGGAGCAATTTCATAATACAGAACAGTTTTTCCTTCATATAAAGTCTAATATTTAAAAAGTATTATAATATTAAATGATGGCGTTTTTGGATGGACTGCACTTTCCTGAAAAAAACAGGATACAGAGTGTAAGACTAGACCAAGATAAGAGCTTGACTGTAAAGAGTGAAACGACCCTAAAAAATAGCTTATATGCAATTAAAAGATTTCATATTATTGTCATTGAAAAGTGTGTAGACGGTATAAAACTGCATCTGTTTGCACATGTTTTAATGAGTTAAAGTGTGAATAATGTAAGTTCAGCTGTAGATTTAGTTAAAGCTCCTACACAGACTCTTAAAGAAAACGAAATCTGGAAACAAACTGCTGAACTGAATCTGAACCTGCAGCCAAAAGAAAGCAACTAAGAAACTAAAGGATACCGTGTGAAGTCTCAGGAGTCTTATGATCTCATGAGCTTTATCTGCAAATACAAGCAGACCATTAGCAGCCACTTCAGGTTTTAATCAGTTCAGATAGATTAAAAAGCTTATTATTATGTATGTAAGCTCCCATTGCAGCCTTGCCTGCAAAAACAAATATTAATATAAACACAAAAATAGAAGAAAAACAGGCTGGAAAAAAACAAAACATTGTGCTACCTCAGTTGTGAGCAATGATCCAAGAATGGACACCCCGATTGATTACATGGGGACTAAAATCTGCACTAATGGAAAAAAGATGACCAGAGTTAGTCGGATTCATCCTCTGGGGACGATTACAGTCTGCACACAAAGATTCATGCAGCAATGTTGTTCACTTGTTTTTCACATTTGTTTTCCACGCCAGCTTCAGTATCTGCCTCCAGAACGCTGCATTTGCCAACATTTTGTGAAAAATAGGACAAAAATTGGTGTATTTTTCTTTTCATTTATCTTCCAACTGCATGTGTTCTACCGTCTATACTCCCTGCCTGTCATCCGTTCCTCTGACTGGATCTCAGCTCGTCACTCTGTCACTTTCCGCTGTATTTGCATCTGAAGCCCTCCGCTGAGTCACCGCGCGCTGCAGCTTCCCTTCTGCAGATCATGACACAAATTAACACGTTTTGCAGCTCACGCCGAATCAGTAATCAACCTGAGAATAGCTGTTTTTATTCTCGCTGATTGGAACATTAACGGGGAAAAAAAAACAAAACAAAAAAAACATGATGCTGACGCAGCTTTTTCTTCTCGGCTGAGTGCAATTGATTCGAGAACACAAAAATAACAAACCACCTGCGACCTCCAGGCTTCTTGCTGGGTCCTGAATGTCAAACGCACAGTTGGACCTGCTGCCAACCTCTTCAGCTAATCACGGCTGACCTTACATGCACCTGCAGACGTGGCAGAGTGGACTCACAGTTGGTCCTGCAGCTCCAGGATGATGTACTCGAGCTGCTCTTTCTCCAGTGTGTGGGAGAGATGCGAGTCTGCCAGGCTCTGCTGAAGAGCCTTGTTGTGGGACACGGCCTCAGACAGCTGGGCTTCTCGGAGACGAACCAGCTCCTCCAGGTAACCCTGAAGCCAAAAAACACACACAGACACACTCTGGTTGTTTGCTTAATGCTCAGAAGGCAGCGAATGACCACAGAACTGAAACCAGAAGCCACAGAGGGACGCATAAAAACGGATTTATCTGATGCTAGAGAACTAAAATGATTCATCACCATGTCAGATTTTGGTTTATAATGAATTTTTGATTGACTAAAAGGTTTCTTCTGGCTGCAAATGATATAAACAAGAAACAAAAGACAGTAAGACATTGTGTCAATGTGTTAATGATGAATTCAAACTATTTTTATGCCATTTCTTGACCAGTAATCAGTGTCAAAGCCAAGTATTTTCCTCCACATCAGTGGTTCTAGTGTCTAACAGTGTTTCTGGGATTTGGTTCCTCCAAGTGTCCATCTGCAGCTCTTGGAGCTTGAAGGCTTCCTCTCCATCACTCTGCTCTTCAGTTCCTCCACAGGTTCTGGATGGATTCAGGTCTGGACTCTGGCTGGGCCGCTCCAACATCTCCTCATTGTTTCCTCTTCAGGGTTTCTTCACCACTTTGGCTGCATGTTTCACATCATTGTCTTGTTGAAGCTCCAATGCTGCCCAAGGAGCAGTGTTCCTGCAGACCTCCTGATGTTCTCCTCTGTTCTCATGAAGCTGTTTCCTCTGACCAGGTTGTCTGGTCCGTCGGCTCAACAACAGCCCCAAAGCATCACGTTCCACCACCATGTTGGACTGTGGGGATGCTGCTCTTGGCCTTGAATGCTTCTCCTTTCTCTGTGTCCAAACATCTCCATGTTCATGAAGTAATGAGCAGCAGCTTTCTTCTTTGTCTTGGAGAAGTGGATCCTCCTTGTCTCCATGGAGACCAGCCTTGTTGTTGGTCTGCTGGAGTGTCTGATTGACATGTTGCTACCAGAACTGCTCACATTCATCAGGATGCTCTTGGTGCTGGTCCTTGGGTTCTTCTTGGCCTCCACCATTCTTCCAGTTCAGGGCTCACGTCTGTCCTCCTGCAGCCCTTTGACATGTTCCACAGTGAGGAACACCTTGGACTTCTTCATGAAGCTTCAAACTGTGAACACTGAACCTTGAAAACACTTTGATATGACTTTATAGCCTTTAAACATCTTGTGAGCAGCAACAATGTGCAGCTGGAGGTCCGCACTGAGCTTTTTGGTTTTAGTCACAACTTGGAACTGACTAGAGAACGACTGCATCAGCTGCATATTAGAATGCTCTAGAACATGGTAGAAATTAGTATGAGCATCTGAAATGGTGGAGAAGCTACATTATCTCTGCAAAACCTGCAACAATCTCAAGAGCAAAAAAACAGAGAAATTGTAAAAGTCAAAACATCTCTCACCCAATGTCTTACTGTCTTTTTCTACTTGTTTATGTCATTTCCAGCCAGAATAAAACTTTTCGTCCAATACAAATTCACTATAAATCCAAGTTTGGCATGAGGATGAATTATTTGTGGCTTAACTGTGTTACTTCAAGCTGAATGTTTGTTTCTGTCCAAACCAGAATTCTTCACAGGATTCATTTCCTCCTGACATTTCACAAACTAAGCCCCCTAATCATCATGCAAACACAGAGGAAAGAAAATGTCACTCCGCCCGCAACCTGAAATAACCCCGACGTTAAACAGACGCTACCTTCTGCTCCAGCGCCATGCGGTACTTCTGCTCAAAGCGTTTGCACTTGCTGACCAGATTGCTCTGCTCGGTGAAGATGGAGGCGGCGGTGGCGGTTTTGTCGGGGCTGCTGCTCTCACTGCCGCTGCTGCCCAGAGTCCTCATCTCCTCCTCGTCGCTGCTGATGCTGTCTGCGCTGCAACAGAGAACCACAGCGAGAGTCACGTCAGCTGAGCACTAAACATCTGGCCAGCAGCTACAGAGTTTTATCTGTGAAGCTCCAATACAAAATGCATGTAAATCAAATCTAACACTGACCCTGTATGAGGAAAGACAGACTGTTTGACAGGTGCATGATGCTAGAAAGAAATCTAACACAGTTAAATAACAATTAACACAGATAAATATTATAAGTTGGACTATTCAAGCACATTTTTGTTAGCTAAAGTCCATTCATTCAACCACAAATTAAGTGTAAAACCTACATCTCCTGCACCTTCAAAGTGCATCACAGAACGTTATTTTTGCAATTACAAATCATTTATGTTTTGCCAGTTTAGATTAATGGTATACGTCCTCAAACAGTTTAAATAACTAGCGATTAAAAAGAGACATAAAGGAAGCTTGATGTGATACGAGCTGCACAAGATGTCATTTTAGCAAAGTAAAGCAAACTAACTCAAACATTTCATGCGACAACTTTTTTCATCTGCTTGATACAAAAAGAAAACTTGCATGACTCTTGTTTTTTTAAAATATTAATCTGCAAAAGAAGTCTGTCTGACAGAACGTCATCTTCTCTAATTTAAGAGTTTGAATACACTGAGAGTTTGTTTGTTGTTGTTTTTTTTAACTATTTAAAAGAGACAATGTTTGTTGACATGCAGGCTCCACATGTGCAAAGAAAAATAAGCAAGAATCTGGAGAGAAACACTGAAAAGGGAAGATTAACAGTCAGTCAGTTATTAATCCTGGTTTTGGCTTTCCACAACAAATGAACTTGATCGACTGATATTTAAGTTTAAAATGCTCCATTCATGGAAAACAGCTCATGCAGATAAAATCACTCAGTTAAACTTGGGTAAATGTGACATTAGGACACCTCATTTGGCCATTTTCAAACTAATTTCTGGTGTCACAGCTGCTGCAGTAACTGAGCGGAGACTAGAAGTGCACAGCTTGCTACCAGTAAATTGCAGTGTCTCTGGATAAGCAGGTGAGGAGTTTTGGGTACAATTTGATGCACATTTGTACATTTGCAGGGATGTAGCACAAGCAGGGCAAAAAATAAGCTAATACTGTAATCAAAATTATTATTTTGGGCATAATTGTGCAGCTGTCGTTCATTATATAGAAAATTTTCAGCTACAGAAAGATTAGAGTTGAGCAAAAAGGGGTACTTCACCGCACATGGCAGCAGTTTGTTGGACCGTTTAAATCTGCAGCACAAAGCTCTGTATGCTGAGTAGGAAACCAGATCTGAATGACATCTGAATCAAGAATCTTTTTCAGCGAGAAAGGTTCCAAGCATCCTTTTTCAGCTTTCTAAAATCCCGTTTGTTAAATTTTCTTTGCCGATACACTCCCCTACAAAATGATTCATTCTTTCAAGGTCGAGTCATTTACATCATCTGGTGAAAATGACTAATTCTTCTCAGTATTTTTCCAGTATCGTGCCATCCTAACATGGATCATTTAATCTGACGAACCTCTGCGTGAACTTCAGGTATGGCGTGTAGTCGATCACAGCGGGGCAGCTGCCGTCCAGCCCGTCTCCTTTCAGACAGAAGCTGAAGACAGAAGAGAGAAGATCAGTTTCTCCGGTTCCAACATGGGACCAGATGAGATCCAATAAGTGACTTTTAACTGCATTTAAATCAACTCCTCCAGAACTGGCGAGGTGTCTTCCATAATCAGTCTCTGAGGATATTATGGTTCAGGGCCAGTTTTTGGCAAAAGCCAACCAACCAGAGCGGCGCCAAAAATAACAACTTATATAAATATCTACTCTCCATCTCTGATGGAGCATAAAATGTGGATTTTTATGAAGACATTTGCTACGTTTCAGCTCAAAAAAAAAACCAAACAAAAAAAAACTTTAATCACACAATCTACAAATAATTAACGTATAAATTCATGTATGAAACCGAGTATTTCATACTAAGAAGTCTTTTAGATGTTTTATTTTGTATTATTGTGACCTACAGCTACATCTGGTTCAGAAAATATCACCAGTTGACTTGTGCATTATCAGGTTTTTTTTGTTACTTTGAGCTCAAGTATGTGATTTTTCATGACGGCTTCACTTTTTTCTTCATATTTTGGCAAAATCAGAGAAGTTTGGATCATTCCATCTCAAATCATCTGATTTATGAAACAATTTCAGTGTGACCATCTCTGATTTATCTTAAATTTCAAAAAAATACTATAAACTCTGGATATTTAAAAGTGAGATTTTAGTTTTAGATATCAAATACTTTCCA